CTCCTGCTGCCTGGAGACGCGGCTCCCAGAAATGGGGCTTTTCCACCCACACGGTCTCATCCGGGCGAGGAGGGGAGTTCCCCCGCAACAGTGGGCACCACCCGCAGAATCCAGTAGCTGTGTTAAGGATAATCCTGGCAAACGCGGCCTGGGAGGCTTTCTGCGTGGGTTGGTACTGAGAGGTGACTGGTTGGATGTGTGTGTTCTAGGTCTCCAGGCCGGTGACTCTCCTCTCATCCGGGCGAGGAGGGGAGTTCCCCCGCAACAGTGGGCACCACCCGCAGAATCCAGTAGCTGTGTTAAGGATAATCCTGGCAAACGCGGCCTGGGAGGCTTTCTGCGTGGGTTGGTACTGAGAGGTGACTGGTTGGATGTGTGTGTTCTAGGTCTCCAGGCCGGTGACTCTCCTCGCTGGTACATGTGTGTGAGAGGCACCTCTTGAGTGTTCTGTGTGACCTCTCTGGTAGATAAAACGTTTTGAAGAAAATGTGCCTCAGTCCCAGCACGGCCCTGTCTCACATCTCTGAACAAGCACCATGCTAAGGGCTGGGTGTAAAGCAAGAACGGGAGGAGGGCGTGGTAGGGGAGGGCGTTTTGGGGTTTATTGGGGGAGGGTTGTTAAGCTTGCAGACACAACATTTGCAATATGGAATAAGTTAAACTGTGGGTTAAGATTCTCAGGGAGTTCTTTTGTTTCAAGAAAATAAATAATCTTCACCAGATGGCCCAGATTTCTCCACCAACAACGTCGTGGTAGCGTTACAGAAGTAAGAGGGAGGGCAGGAAAATACAGGCACAGCCCCCCCATGACCACACATGGTTTTTATGTGACACAGGTTGCTTTGCTTGGTTTTTACAGTTCCATCTTACAACTACCTGCAAAGTATTCAATCATATCATCGGGTTTAAAATTGTCCTTTTTTTTTCTCTTGACTGAAACAGGAGGAAGAAATGGAGATGATGACTGAGAAACAGAGAGATAATAGGTATTTTTGGAACAACACTCCTCAAAAAAGTGATTTTGAGGCTGTAGAAGCCCTGATTTCTATGAGTTGCAACTGGAAATCAGACTTCAAAAAACATGCAGAAATGAGACCTATAACCCCAGCATCTGATTTGTCAGAAGAGAGTGATGAGACTTTGCTTCCTGGAGCAGCAGACTTTAACACAATACCAGCATTTGTAAGTCTTTGAATTTGCACGTGTGTGCTTGTTTTTAACCATTAGTGTGGTGACGTGTTGGTAACATGTTCCCTCCTTACCGTCTCTCTCTCCCCGCACAGTGCCTTACACCTCCCTACAGCCCTTCTGACTTCGAGATGTCTCAGGTGGTCCATCCAGGGGTCCATCCTGGGGCACCCATGCCCACCGCAGCGCTCGGCAGGTCGCTGGCTGAGGCAGGGAAGCCTCCAGCTGCTGGGCCTCCGAAAGCTCAAGCGACGAGTGTCATCCGCCACACGGCTGATGCTCAGCTTTGTAATCACAAAACCTGCCCAGTGAGAAAAGCCAGCGTGCTGAAGTACCAGGACAGCGTTTCGAGGGAAACAAACAGTAAACAAAATGCTGAGGCAGAGCAGTCAGCGTGTTCCGCCGTGGCGCCGAGCAGAGCCGGTGGTGAGAGCGGTGAACTGCTGGTGGCAGAAGGAAAATCCGCAGAACCAGCTGTCGGTCTGGTGCCCTTGACAAAGCCCCCGGTCAGCAGACATCAGCCTGTCCTCGGGTCAGCTCAGCAGACAGCGAGGATGGCATCGCCGTGCCCTGCCCAAGGCAGTGGAGCCCCCCCTGTGCCGGTGATTTGCCAGATGGTCCCTCTGCCTGCAAACAACAACATGGTGACAGCCGTGGTGCCCAACAGCACGCCAAGCCAGCAGCCCGCTCTCTGTCAGCCCATGGTCTTCATGGGTACCCAGGTTCCCAAAGGGGCTGTTATGTTTGTTGTACCGCAGCCAGTTGTGCAGAGCACAAAAGCTCCCATTATTAGTCCCAATGGCACGAGACTCTCTCCCATTGCCCCTGCTCCCGGCTTTGTACCTTCTGCAGCAAAAGCCAGTCCTCCGGTTGATTCTTCAAGAATAAGAAGTCACATCTGCAGCTACCCAGCGTGTGGGAAAACGTACTTCAAGAGCTCCCATTTGAAGGCTCATGTCAGAACACACACAGGTTGGTCCCTGTTGCTGCGTGTTAAAAAGTAGTGTAGAGTATTGCAGCTATACACAGAACTTGTTCAGGTTCTAGTGGTTACCGGATTTGTTCCTGGAACAAGTTGTGCGGCAGCAATAAAATCCTTTTTTTGCCAGTGTGCATTATAATGCTGCCTGATCTCTGACAGGAAATCTCCCGGAGGGGAAGCTGACTCAGCAGTTTGTTTGCTGCTGGACTTGCTTCATGTCAGAAGGCATTTGGTAATGCTTCTTGTGAGTGTGGAAGCAAGGCCTTGCCCAGTGTAGAGTATCCTTCTCCAGGATTTCCAGAGTTAAAGATGCCTTATTAGGCATCTTCACAAGAATGCCTTTGTCCAAAGTGGGCAAACCTTCAAAAGATTATTTTATGAAAGAATGTAAGGATCCACTATAAACTATTCCTACCTTGGTTATTTTGGAGTAACTTCTCCATGCGTCAGCTCTTAGCACACTAGCAGAAAAGTGATGTATATTTTAGTATAGGCTGAAAGTGCACGCACTACCAGGGCTCCATTACATAAAATGTTATTGCAGGTTGTATTTCAGGAGTACTTTTGGGCGTGTGAAATTGTCATTATCTGGCATCATTATGATTAAAATCAGATCTCTTGAGATGTAAAGAGCACCTCAGATTATTTGGTTCCAGAAAATTGTTAACCCTTCATGCTACTTAGCCTTCATGGTAGTGCATCTGCATGTTTAAATATTTTTATATAGACTTTATCACATTTCATGTATATAAAATAATTAATATTTATGTAGATTTTTGGCTCAACTGCCATAATAGAAACTTTTCTTTAAAAAATTCAAATCCTGCCAGTCAAGGCAGTAGTATTTGTTGCTCCATTAGTACTCGAGCTTGTTTTTCTTCACAGTCATTTTTTTTTCTTTTAGGAGAAAAGCCATTTAGCTGCAGCTGGAAAGGCTGCGAGAGAAGGTTTGCACGCTCTGATGAACTGTCTCGCCACCGCAGAACACACACGGGGGAGAAGAAGTTTGCCTGCCCCATGTGCGAGCGGCGGTTCATGCGGAGCGACCACCTAACGAAGCACGCGCGTCGCCACTTGTCGGCCAAGAAGTTGCCCAACTGGCAGATGGAAGTGAGCAAGCTGAACGACATCGCCCTGCCGCCCGCGGCCGCAGCTGCACAGTGAAAGGACTTGCTCTGGAGGCGGTGGAATTAACTGTTGTCGCTGGGATGGGCCAGCTGAAAAAAGGCTTTTGCTCCCGGTCTGTGTCTCTCCCGCGCCGGCTGCCGGCGGCAGCGCGGCCAGGAGGCGAAGGCAGCCTGTGCTCGGTCACTAAACGTGTTGCTGGGAGAACCGGTGGCTGACTGGAGTAGTGGGTGTCTTTTGCACTGGTAAGGAGAGAGAGAAAGGGAAGGTTCTAGAGCAGAGCAGCACACATTGTGCCAGTTTTGACTTTAGCCAGTTATTCGCATGAACTCTAGCTCAGTCATGTGTATTGCTGAAAGTTTGTGGCTGGTGCTTGAGACCAGCTCCAGGTTTAACGCTGGGTTGTTGATCTGCAGTACAGCACGGACTGGGAATACAGCAATGCATGGGCACAGGCTTGAAAGCCCAGAACACACCTGCGTAAGATAATCTAAATAGGTTTCCCTACTTTTGCCACCTTTTCTTGGTAGGAATCCTTTCCTCCTATCCATTTTCAGGCCCAGGCATTAGTGATTATTTGGTGCCAGACTCCTGGAGCTTTCCTGCCTGTCCTGTACAGGATGTCCAACACACCCAGCTTTATACCGCTGTCCAGGGGCTGAGGGGCACCACGTGGGCAGCTGGAGAGTGGGAGCATTTCTGAATCCTCATGAGCTTTGTAATATTTTCCCAGCTTCTTGGCAAGCTTTGTGATGATTACAGTTGGTTGTACCTGGGCATCGCACGATGCTTCTGCTTTTGTGTTGGTTACGGTTCATAAACAGATGCAGTGCACTTTTAAGAGAAAATATGGAACTGTAAACTGCCCAGGTTGATTAAGGAAGAAAACCAAGAAATTTAAGCTTCTTGATCGTGTTATTCTCTGAAAGATGGTTTCTATGAAAAATGAAATGCATATATTATGTATTGTATTGAACTAGAAAGTTGTGATTCACAAAGTAAAATGAGGCAGTAAAGACACCGGCCTAGGATTTAAACTGTAGCTTTTATGGCAAATAATGCATCAACTTTCACTATTTCTATTTTATCTTATTGAGGACACATATCAAAAAGTGGACAGTTTGAGAATAGTGTATTAGATATGCTTTATGTGACTACTTTAAAGATTTGCACATTTCTTATGTTGTACTTTATACTTTGTTTACAATAAAACAAATTTTCTTTAATGTAGACTTCTCTTTTCTTTCTCCATAACAGAACTTGCCCCTTGATACTCCAGAGTACAGTGTCCATCAGTATGTGTCCTGACCAATGAAGCACTGTCTCTGAAACTTTGTATATTTTTTTAAGCTCTATAAAGCCAGTAGGAGTCGAATTTCAAGTCTGCACTTACTACTCTGAGTCTCTGTTTCCATTGTTGGCTTTTTTTTTCCCCTTCCTTTTCTCCAAGCATGCAGAAATAAATCTGTTTCTGTGGGCCGTTATGACACTGGTGAAAAACACTTCCTTTTTCCTGGCAATGGGGCGGCGCTGCCTTCCCGGGCAGAACCCAGCCCGTCTCTGGGGCCGGGCTGCTGGGTGAGCTGGTGGCTGCAGCGCCCACTGCCCGGGACCCCCGACCCCTGCCCCGGGTCTCAGAGTGCAGAGACATGCCCAGGGTGGGGTCTGCCAGGGCCCTTGGGCTCGGACCTTAGCGGGGTTTTACCTCCGTGGGCAGCACGTTCCTCTGCCTTCTGCTGCCCCTTCCCGCATGCAGGGGTGGCCTCTTCCGGCTGACCACGGGGGTCTTCATCTCCTGCTCTGCCCTGCCCGGGGCATTCCCAGATTTCCCAGCTGCCAGGCTGCTGACTCATGGCCCTGCCCTGCGGTGTTGGGGACAGGAACACTCCTTTCCTTATCCTGTTTGACGCAGGCCCTGCTTTGGGAAAAACCTGAGTCATTGCCCTTCTTGTTCCAGGGGAAATACAGCATCGTGGCAAAAGAAGAATTCTCCCAGGAGCCTGAGCCCCACTCTGCCATCTTTCTTCAGGGTATTATACATTTCATGGGCACAAGATAAAATACTGTAACAGCTCTGGGTCTGTAGCCCTTCCATATCTGCAACTAGTCACTGGGCTAGGAAGCCAGGTCCCCCCTCCAGCTCTGGCACACTGAACCTTGAATTCAAGTTTGTGTTGTGCCCCACATCAGGATGGTACAAGGGAAGTGCCACCCCCTTTCATTACCCTGCCTGGCCATCCTTGGCAGTGCCTGCAGTGGGCTTTGAATCTCCTCCAGCTCAGCAGGGATCTGGACTGAAACCTGGCTTCCCAGCCAAGTGCTCTCATGCTGCCATGCAATAACAGGGGAAGAAAGGAAGTTCCTGCATCATGGCCATCTCCGCTGCCTGTGTTTTCCAAAGGAAATCAGCTGCTGGTGGTTTTTTGTGTGGCATCCAACTCTGGTGGAGTGTGTGGGGTGTGCCCTGAGGGTGCTCACTGGTGGCACCCCTGGGGAGGCTGCGGGGGAAAAGCTCTCTGGCTTTACTCTGAGCTAAAGGGTTTCTCGCTCTACAGAATTTAACAGTAAGAAGTGCACTTCCAACTGGTTTTGGACAAAGGTAGAGCTGTAATTGTGAATTTACCTCATGCCATTTTCTTAAAGCTTAGCCATGGAAGCCAACCGAAAATAAAACAGCCATTTGGGAGTTCAGAGGAAGTATAGCCTGAAAAACGTAGTTGGAAGGACATCATTAGGCACTTTCAATGCTGACTTTACATGCAATCAACTTCAGTTGCATAGTAGGAAACAATTTTTATTAATTTTCTACAGATGTCTCGGAATAATGAGGGTTTCCTTACTCCTCTAGGTAAACCAAAATTGCACCCTGTGTTTTTTTCCTTCTGTTTGGGTTTAATGATGAAGCCAAACAGAAATGCAAACCAAAACACTCTCAGCAACCCCCCACCATCTGTACTTGGATGCCAATGGGTGCTGTGGGAGGCAGGGACCCATCAGGGTGCAGAAAGTGCCTGCCTACCCTGGGAGCAGCACAGGCAGAGGAGGAGCAGGGCTGAGTAGGGTGTCCTGAGCGGCTCAGGGTCTGTAATCCCACTCCCTTGCTAAATCAGCATGGATAAGCATTGGGACTGTAGTGCCAGGGCACCCTGAGTGTGCCTTTGCCAGCAGTGGGGGATTTCAAGTTCTTTGGAGAGAAGGCTGGAAAAAGCAAGTATTTCCCCTTGTGGTTTGGAGAAGAATAATTTCCATTACAGCAGGAGTATTTGTGGAAGGCTTAGATGCTCTATGAGTGAACTAATGTACTGCAAAAGAAGAGGGTCCTGAGCTGGAGCAGCTTGTCTGGAGCCACAGACACAGCTGAGACTAGAACCAGGGCAGCCTGCCTACCCTTCCTGCCTGGAGAGCTGGGCTTTCTGAGGTTTTTCCTTCCAAGCTTTACCACCCAGTGCTGCTACTTCAGGACACCCTCAAGCAGCCAGTCCTGTGGTCATGGCAGAGGGTCTGCACCACCTCGGTGCCAGGGTGGGACGTGTCTGACAGCCAAGAGGAAGGGCCCTGTGACCGGCCAGCCCGAGGCATGTGCACCGCATGCAGAGGCATCAGGTATTCCCCTGGCAGCTCCCCAGTCTCAGTGATTCATTTGTCTTTTTTGGCAACAAACTTAGATCACCAAGGAGACACTCACAAGCTGTCAGAAAAGTTAGAGCACAAAATCAGGTCAGGAGAAATGATGAAAGAATTAATTAATATGTGTATTACAGGCTCAAGCTCCCTGACATCCTGCACTGCAGATTTCCTGCAGGATAAGTCTTTGCTTCTGAAGCATGTGGTCATGGGGGGTGGGTAATACTCACCTAGAACAAATGCTTTTGGAATATATCTTACGATGCAATTGAGCATGTCACATGGAGATTCCCTGTCTTTTCTAGGGTTATTGTGATCTGGAACACTTTCTATTGTCACAAAACCAAAATGTGATACTTAAGCAATCAGAAAATGCGAGCGAAACGTCTTTAGCCATCTCACTGAATTTTCAAGCAGACAGGGGCTAAACTGGCTAGCTTCCCTGCTGTGTTGAGATATAAATCAGGTAATAATACTATAAATTGTTTTAAGTAATTCAGAAGCTTATACTTCCCAGTGTATTCCATTCTGAAAGTCAAAGTAATTGTCTGGTGAAAGAAATTCTGCTGTTACGGCCACTTGAGCGACGCAGAAGGTTTCAGTAGGTATCAAGGTATGTGCATGGCAACAGCTTCCCTAACAAACAGATGCAGCAGTTGTGAGGAATGCCCATGCACCAGCAGCTGCAGTGAGCCACCAGCACACCCTGCCTCAGCTAAATGTTCCCCAGGGCCTCTGCAAAAGTTGGATGGCTTTGAGCAGTTGAAGCACATAGCATCTCCTCTCTGTTCAGCTTGTCTCCTGTCTGCTTCCAATGCACGCAGGAGGACCTGACATTTGTCAAGTCTGTTTTTTTAAAAACCTTCACAAGCTTATTTTGTTATGCCAGCTGGGCTGGATTCCATCCTGTTGTCATAGTTTAACTGTGAGGGCTGGGATCTTCACAGCAGTAGCCGGGGGACTGGGATGGGGTGCTTGCTATGAATGGCAACCTGAGGCAGTTTAAACACTTCTGCCTGGGAAATACAGTTTTTAATGTTTAATTGCTTGGTAGGCAGCTGGAAAGTACAACCCCCACCTCCCCAAAATGGAAAGAGAAAGAGAATATCACACATATACAAAATACAGAGTACAGAGAATACATTAATGGTCTAAAATGCAGGGTGGTCAAAACACTAATGAAACTTTCATCAAGCAAACAATAAAGCAACTCCCCTGACCACCTGTCAGCTGTGATGTGACATCACCAGTCGTTGCAGTCACTAAAGAGAGCTGAGAACTGCAGCCTGGCAAGGCAAAGGAACAGCCATCTTCAAATAAGCTACGTAATCAGCTTAATGAAGACACAATACCTGATCAGCTGCAATCAGTATTCATCGGGTAATCCCAGCTAAGGGGGAAGGACCGCAAAGGCAGAAGAGAGAGCTGGGTTAGCCAGGGGAATCTCCCCGTTGGCAGCTGAAATACAGAGTGC